AACTTGTTCAGCTGGGGATGCATCATGAGCATTAAACACTTACTCCTTTTGAGTGTCAATTGCCAGTGTGAAAAATCCTTCATTACTTTTGGAGCCCATTAATCTGGGGCTCCTTTTAAAAAGATTGACTTTTTTCAATCTGCTTCTGATATTCTTGTTTACAATAATGCTTTGGAGAATAAAGGAGCAAATGAGTGGGATAAAAATGAAGAGTGGGGGTAATGTTTGGTGTATCTAATTCATCTGTGTGTAATTCATGGCCTTCAGAAATCATGATGGCATGGATATGGCTTCCCTGACTACAGCTTGCTCTTGGCACTGTCAGTAGATGAGATTTTGGAGTCTCAAATTCAGTTGGATTCTGTAAGTGACCTCTGAAAGGAGGTGTTACTGTAAGGGATGACAGACATGTTACCTGGATAAATACAGTGTCTGCTTCCTTTGACATCTGCAAAGTTTTATCAAAGATTTATAGGCTTGGAGCTTAATTTAAATAGATGTTCTCTGCATTTTTCTTTTCTTAAAAAGAAAGTACTTTTTAAGGCCTGCCTAAGTTCCTCTTCTGGAACTCTGCTGAATGGGTCAGCAGGAAGGTTTATGGGTGCACTATATGCCTCATCCAGAACTCCACTGGCCTAATAACTGAACAACTGCCGTGATTTTTGTTGATCTGATTTAGTGAAGCTTTGTTTGAGGCTACTTATGTCCAGTGTTTTATTCTAAAATAGTGTAATAAACCACAAAGTAAGTGTATTGAAAAACTCTCACTGAGGGATTTCATGTGCGTGCAGCATTTCAAAAGATTGTCTTCTAATTCAATGTTCTGTGCAATACCTGAGCCCTATGCAAAGAGTGTAAGGAGCATTGTTCAACCCTGAATGCTTCTGGCATTAAATATCAGTCTCAAATTCATGTCCTGATTCTGAGATTTAACCAGTTTGAAGGCAAGCAGTGATGCTGTTCATGTGGTGGAATGTTGCTGTAGAAGTCTGAACTGAAGTCTGAGGTTATCCTTAGGATGATGAGTTTTTGCATTTATGTGAAGGTGTGGTGCCTTGCAGTTCTCAAACAGTTGCATGGGCATAACTGAAATGTTTGGTATTTACTGCCATTGCTGACTGACTATATATAGTCAGAAACACAACAGTTGTTGTCTGCCTTGTTTCTATCTATTGCAGTGCAGTGTTCCTTGTGTTTAGCTGTTATCTTGCTCAAGTGTGTTCCCAGATAAACCTGTCATCACACAGAGCAGTGAATTGAAAGCAAGTTACTTGCTGGAGTTACATTTTGAGCCTTAAGTTACTCTTTAAAAGGAAATTCTGACAAATACTTTGATGTTTTGAATGGCCATATTTAATGTCTTTTGATCCTAAACAGGGGAGGCAGGAGTTTGATGGCATGGAAAACACTCCCATTTCTTGGCAAGAAATGGGTGCTTACTTAGAAGGGCATTTACTAAAGGAGGGGTATAGGGATCTTTTGTATTACACTATGTTCTTGTTTGTCCCTCCTCTCATCTTAAAAGTAAACTTAACTTTCTCATTCTACATGAAGAGGTTCGTGTCTGTGTTCTGCATCTAAGGGACTTCTGTTCTGGGAGGCAGAACTTGAATGGCTTAAAATGATCTGTGCTGTACACTCCTTTCATCAGACCCAGAACAGATCCCCTGCAGAGCAGCTTTTGCCACCAGCACCACAGGATCAGGTGCCCTGAGTGGGACAGGGAGAATGAGGAGGTGGGTGTGAGGCATGATGGGCATGTGTGGTGGCTCTGATTACATGAGAGCAAGAAATGGATGAGATGTGGAAGTGGAACTTCCTGATACACAGTGGTGAAATAGTTGCTATGCAACAGAATCCAGTGGTATCTGAGTGGGATAAGAGACTGTGTGGCAGGAGAGAAATGTCCTGGAACAGCTCCAGAAAGCTATTGTGAGAATGTGAGTTAGCACAGTGTTGAATATTGGGAACATGCAGGAGGGATCGATCTGCTGTGCCCTGACACTGATAGTGTCGCTTCAGCTGCCTGCCTGGAGCAGAATCCTTTCATTTGCTGTAGCAGATGGGGATGGTATTTGTAGGAACAGAACAGGTGATTGTGCTGGTGACTTGGATTGTTTCATCTTGTTTTTAGAAAGGGTAGGTTGTGCTGTGCTGTGCTGTGACCTTGACTCCCAAGCTTCTCTGGTACTTACTCTGCTTAATGTGTTAGTTCATGGCTGCAGGATTTGAGGCTGCACATGCTAGTGGCAGCAAGAGCCATGAATGTTCTGTCACTGGTGAGAGCCCCTGTGGCACACTGTGTTCAGCTCTGGGGCCCTCAGCATGAGAAGGACATGGAGCTGTGGGAGCCAGTCCAGAGGAGGCTGCAGAGATGCTCAGCAGAATTGAGCACCTCTCCTGTTAGGGCAGGCTGGGAGAGCTGGGCTTGTTCAGGCTGAGAGACATTACTGAAACCTCCCAGAACCCAGGGGGGGACCTACAAGAGGTCTGGAGAGGGACTTTGTACAGTGGGAAAGGCTTTAAATTGACTGAGGGTGTTTTAGATTAGATGCTAGGAAGAAATTCTTCACCATGAAAATGCTGAGGCCCTGGCACAGGGTGCCCAGAGCAGCTGTGGCTGCCCCATCCCTGCAAGTGTCCCAGGCCAGCTTGGATGGGGCTTGCAGCAACCTGGGCTGGTGGAAGTGTCCCTGCCCATGGCAGGGGGATTGGAACCAGATAATCTTTTAGGTCCCTTCCAAGCCAAAGCACTCTAGGATTCTGGATTATAAACCATTGTGGGTGGTTTCTTTTTTGTTTGAAGTTCTGTTCTCTCAAGTTTGAGACTGAAATGTTGGAAATTCTTTCTACTAACTTTGGTCTGTCTGTTCCCCCCTTAGTAAAGGGGCTCCAGTTGTCACTGTGTTTCTCTGGAGCTGTGAAGCCATCAGCCTCTAAAGGGGCCATTCAGGAGTGGGTGACAGGACTGTCTTGGCAACAGCACCTCTTTGTGGGAGGGCACAAGAATGGCATAAAATTCACTGCATTCCATGTGCATTTCACACTGCTGCAGTTAAATTAACAAATGAGATGAGAAAGCCAGTTGTAAAGACAAATAGAAGAGAGGAAAACGTGATACTTGGATGGAATTTCAAAAGGAGAACGGAAATCTATTCAAATAAATAAAAGAAGAAAGCATAACTTTGTTGATCTTGCTGAGGCAGTGAGGAGCCCTTGGCTGTTGTCAGAGCTGCTGGGCAGTGTCTGAGGGTGCTCACTGCCTGCACTTGGTGGCACTGTTGCAGTGTCTGTGCAGACACAGCCTGCATGAGCTGTCAGCTCATTGCCAGCAGGCTCACACTTCACTTGTTTTTAAAGGAATTTTCACGTAAGGTTTTGGATATTTTTGGTGCTGGATAAATTCTCTAACTATTTAAAAAACTACCTGTGGCTGAACAGTGTTTTTTACATTTCCCTGTGCCAGATTTTTGTAGGCACGTGTAGGTAACAGTATTTGCCACAGCAGTAGCTGTCAGTAGCTGATCAGCTGATGGTGGAGCAACATTTACTTTGGGAGTCATCTTGTCTGGGTGTGTTGAACAGAGTCTTGGAAATATCTGCCTGACAGTAATTGTGCAGTTATGATAGATCCTGGCTTTGGTTCTTTGAATTGCTTTTTGTTTGGTTGTCTGAAAGAATTGAAATACTTTGAATGCTGCTGTCTGTCTGAATTCCTATTTGTGCCACTAAAAGGACATTTTTTGCGTTTCATTGTTTGTGACAAATATAATTATGGAAGAATATCCAGTTGATGGGAATTAAAATAAAAATAGATTAAATTGCATCAGATTGTCATGCTGTCCACTGCAATTTAAGAAAGTTTCAACATCATGTTGTTGTTGGAGCTGTCATTTTCTGCTGTTTGTACTTGCAGCTCCTATCTGTCTAGCCTGCATCTCATGGCTCTATTTTAGGGTTGTGATTTTATGTGTTCATCTGGCCATCCCAGCTTATGTCACGCTCATATCTAAGGGCTTGCTCATATTCAGAGCCTTCTGATTTGTGTTTGCTCTCAGAATTGAGAATGTTGAGGGGTGGAAGGGACCTCTGAGGGTGGTCTGGTGCCGTGGGCCAGGGCAGGCAGGGCCAGCATCTGCCCAGGACCATGTGCAGTCAGGTGTTTAACATCTCCCAGGATGGAGAGCCCGCAGCCTTCCTGCTCGGCCTGTGCACTGCTGAGTCACTCTCGCAGTGAAAAAATATTTTCTGATGCTTACATGGGATCTCCTGTGTGTCAGTTTGTGCCCATTGCTTCTCCCCCTGCTGCTGGGCACCACTGTGAGCAGTCTGGCTCCGTCTCCTTTTCACCTCCCCTCAGGAATTTATGGTGTTTGTCACTGTGGTCTGTATTGTTGAATTTCATTTACCAAACTTCTCGTTGGAGAGCAGTATATTGTGTCTGGCAGTCACTAGCTCCATGGCACAGATTTCCCTTTATGTCAGTCAGATGTTTGAGTGTATGAGGCTTTCATTCCATTAACTTATATTTGTAATGAGAAGAGCAACACTTGATTTCTTTCTGTGACCAGGAATTATTTAATAGCAAGGTCACCAAAGTACACAGTAACATAACAAATAGTGACAAGGAAAGTTTAACAAAGCTGCTGGCTTTGTTGTGTGCAGTTAAGAGTAATTGTGTGAAGGCAAGGGAATTATTTCAGAATTAAATGGTACTGTAGAAAAGAAAGGAAAAGAGAATGGAAGATGTGGAACATTAACCTGTGTGATCTGTAATCACTGACCTTCATTTCAAGGCGTTAGGACAAGAAAGGGATAGCAGATTTATTGGCAGTACTTGTGACTGTTATGAATAAGAAGCTTGACCAGGCCAATATTCAAGCAGCAATCAATTTATTATTTAATATGGTAGAGTATGAGCAATACAGCACTGGGTACAGTGGGGGAAGTTTTCCCTCCAACTGCACACTGATAATTGATGGTTACAGGTATTTATAGGGGTACTCATCAGTTTTTTTCAGCAGTTTCTATTTCCAATTTTTTACTCATCAGCAATTTTTATTCCAAATTATTGCATCACAATTCTATACACTATTGTGATTTTAATTTCTCAGGATGTATCTCAAAGGAGTATCCCCAGATGGTGACAGTCCAGTTTCCCAAAGAAGAAAGACCAATCCCATCTGGAGGGGTCCAGCTCCCCAGATGTGTGTCCACCTTTTAATTGCAGAGACTCTGAATCCCATAACAGTGATGTCCAGCTTCTCTTTGGTTGAAACCACAAACCCTTGAGGTGATGTTCATCTTCCTTTCTCAAGCTGTTTTTCTCTGCTTCAAGAAGGTGTGAGATAAGCATATTTCCTTTATATATATTCCAAAGCTATAGTTTCAAGGATACAAGTAATATTCTAAAATGACACTTCAAAAGGTTATTATTGCAGAGCTTTTTATGGATTAAATGCAAGCAAAAAGCAACATCCTTAACACCTTAATTCCAATGCTCCTAAATCAACCAGGGTTAACTGCAAACAAAAGATAGGTTCAAAGGCCTTTTTCCATGCTTTAATTTCTTCAGTTATTATTAGAATTTGCACCTATTCCTTTGTTGAGGTCCACACATTTGCATTCACAAATACACACGTCGCCTGCTTGTACCTGAGACGAAACACAGCTTTGCATCTCACAAGACTCGCCAGGTAACTGCCGGAATTCCGTGATTTCCTTTCCTCGGGGCGCTGTGCTCCAGCCTGAGGCTGTGTCTCGTTCGCAGGTGGGGCCCTGCAGGTGTCGGCGGAGGCGTTCACCAGCGATCCCTGCTCGCTGCCCCGCAGGCAGGCTGTGGTGCCCGCCGCTCGCTCCCTGCTGGCCGCGGTCACCCGGCTCCTGGTGCTGGCCGACATGGTGGACGTGGCCTATCTGCTGCAGCACCTGGCTGTGGTGAGTAATCCCCGCTCTCCTCAGCTCCTGTGAGCCACAGCTGGCTCTGCTCAGGGCTCTCCGGGCATGGAAACTCTTTGTGTACTTGAGCCTTGCAGCTCTCATGCACGGAACACCTGGGGCAAGTGTGGATTCTAGATGAGATTTGTGAATGGACCAGAAGAACTCATCTACATGCAGCTCGGCATATTTGATCTATTTTTGGTTCCTTTTTATCCACTGATACTTTCAGTAATTTATAAGAGACTGATAAAACCACACATTTCTGTTGACTTGCTAATATTTCAGGGCAGAGGTGAGTAATCAGTGCCACCTCTCATAATGCCTCGTGCCACGAGAGAGCACAGTGACTTAGAGGACCATGTTGAAGCAAGTTCAGTTTGATGAAGATGAGACAATGAAAATTTGGCTCCAAATCAGACTAGGAAAAGTATTTAATAATAAAACAGTGTTGTGTGGGTTTCAATACTGGGCTTGAAAAATCTCCACTGCTGGAGATGCACCACAGGCTAAATTAACACTGCCTTGCAGAAGCTTCTGTGTTGTTCTGTATGTTTAAATTTGTCAGCTGTAACAGGAATGGCCTATGTCTTTTGCACTGCTTATGGAAAATGTTCTTAAATTATGATATTTTTCATGGTAATCTATTACATTTTTAATGTTTATTTTCATAATCCCAGATGCTCTCTTCTGAGATGTATTTGACTATGTTTTACATGAGAGAGCTAAAATTAGATGGTTTTCCTTACTAGAGTTTCAGTATTTCTAAATGGCTGTCTAATTGACTTCATGTTTTCCATCTGAAAATGAAAACAAAAAATAACTGCAAATGGGGAAAGAATGCTGAGCATCATTCAGGAACAACTCCAGCACTGCAGAGGGCCATTAAATTGCCATCTTCTTCCATATTTCCTCTTAATAGGAGGGAGAACTGAATTTGTAAGTGAACCCTTAGAATAAATTAGTGTGGTAAAACACTCTCAGTAAAGCCAGTGCAGAAAGATTCACCCTAGCTGTTAGAGGAGAGTGTGTTATATTTTGCATATCTATTTAGTCTCTGCTCTGGCTGTTGAACTTGCCAACAGTGGTATTAGCTGTAATGGTGTCTTTTATGTTGACATCTAATTAGGAAATTGACTTAATGGAATTTCATCATATGCTATTGAACGTCCCTCAGTTTCTAACAACTTTTGGTCACAGCTAACTGAGCCAGATTTAAAGGCAATTAAATATTGTAATGAATTTCAACATGGTTCTATTCTAAGTGTTTATCTGTAATCATTATACTTTAAAACTCCCTTAGGAATTCAGTTTTTCTTCAGCATGGACTTGCTCCCACAAGAAGACTTTGTATTCCCACAGTGTCAGAGTAGACCTTGTCTTTGCTATATCAGCTGTAATATTCCTGTGTTTTTCAAGTTCATATGCCTTGAAAACCAACTCCTTAAAAGTCTTCAGATGTTTTTCTTTGCACTTGTTCTAAAGCCTTAATACTTCCACCATATTACCCTGTTCTTCAGACAGGGGTGTTACAGCTGTTATCATTTAAGAGATGGGAAATTTCATTGCTCTTTATTTCCATGTCTCTGAGCACTGCAATTTTTATGGGGTAGACAAAATTGATTTGAAAAATTAAAAAAAAAAAAAAGTAATAGTAGAATAAAAGGTATAAAAATTCTAATCAAGGCCCTTTTCTTTATTTGCATGTATAAAATGAAAGAAGTTGGTTCAGCATCATGAAAGAATGCTGTACAGTATTATGAGATCTTGCTCAATAGATGAAAGTATTTAATGGGGAATTACATATTCAAGTATCTAATATTTTTCAAACTCATTTATTAAAGACTGCTGAAAGCTTTTAGCCTTGGTCACTCACTAAAATTGGTTAATTCCAACACTGATGTTTAAAACTATAGCTTTTTCTACTGACAGAATACACTCTGGGTCATTAAACTTTAATTTCCTCAGTAACCTGGCAATAAAAATAGAAGGAAAACAAAGACAGTGTGACTGGCTGTCATAGAAAGCCTCACCTACTGTTACCTGTCACTTCTGCCTGTTTATGTATATCTAGGAAAAAAGGATGAACCTCAGCTCTCTCCTTCCAGTTTATGTAGTCTCTAACAATGTTTTCTGAACATTCTGCTTAGACTTAGGACTGGGTTTGAATTTTGTGTAATCAAGTCTTCATATTAAACAGTGTGCAATTCTGAAAATACAGAGTATTTTTTCTCACAAAAATACTGAAATGTAACTTTTCAAAACTGGAAATAACAGGTAAGTAAGTTTGAAAGGATTTGGTAATCCTGGGAGGAATTTCAAACCAAATGTTCAAAAACAGCTTTGTGAACAGCAAATTAGCTTTTTTAGAAGTTTTGCTAATGAAGTGAACTGAATTTTGGCTGTTTAATGAATTCTATCAGATTGTCCCTGAGCAAAAGTGAATAAATGTGTGTGTAAATAATGCTTTCTAGATGCCAGTACAAACCCCCAGTGACTGCTCACACTCTGGCACAGAACACTCCTGGCCACTTGTGGAATTCACAATCCTATAAGACTCTGAGGGTGCGGTGCAAACAGGAAGATCCTTTTGGAGTTCACTGAAAAAACAAAGTACATCACACCATAAAGAAAGGTTTTCCTTCCTTAAATATAATTTTTTTAAACAGGGAACAGTTTAAATAGTTACCTGTCTCTGTCTGAGTTTCCATGCCTAAAGAAACAACTGAGTTCTGAAAAATGTGGTCAGACAAAGGACTGTCTTCTGTATTGCACTCTCTGATTCAGAGCTGTGCTAGCAGCTCATCCATTATGGTTAGTGATGCTCGATATTATTTAATTAAGTGAATTAACAGACTAATGGTATTGCTTAAATCTATTGATCAGAAGAGAGCAGCAGGAAAGTAACAAGTTTGGAGAATTTCATTCAAAGAGCGTTGGCAGTCTGTCTGTCTCTAATCAGTTTCAGATCATGCTGAGCCAACATGTTTTAGCTGCCTTTTTCCTCCTCATGTCATTGTAGATTTACTGTGCAAGTCTTCGTATTTTTCATGAATGCCTCAGACAGCACGATCTTTACAAAATGCTTGCTTACAGTTCTTTAAAACTCCTGTCAGGGAAAAAAAAAAGAGAATGGCTATAGATAAGAAGCAACATGTGAAGCTGGGCCCTGTGAGAGAAGTGCTGTCTGTTCCTCCCTTTCCTGCAGAGTATTCAGCAGCACTGAAAATGCTCTGAGCAAGAGCTCAGTAGGGTTACATAGAATGAAAGAGGAAAGCCCCCTGGGCTGCCCTGTGTTTCAGGTGTAGGGGCGTGGTTCAGCTCCCAGAGCTGTTCATTGATCCAGATCCCTTTGTGGAGCCCTCCTTCCCCCCAGCAGATCACTCTGGCACGTGGGCTGGTGTGAGTCTTAGGTGGTGGAGCTGTCACTGAACATTTCATTTTGGGTTGGGGGGATTCATTCTGCTGCCATCCCTGTGCTCAGCTTCAGGGGCTTGGCTATTGGGAACCAGCTGGTCCTGCTGCTGAGGAGTCAGCCAGATAAGTACCTCAGCCTTTTCCTCTTTGCTTGTCACTCTGTTCCCCCTGCATCCAGTGAAGGATGGTGATTGTCCTTAGCCCTCCTTTTGTTCCTGATGTGTTTATGGAAACGTTGTTTTTTACAGCAATAGCCAGATTACATTCTAACCTCTTGCCACCTTCCTTAGCCGGGCATGGGTCACTCCCGTGGCAGGGAGACTTCTGGAGCATTTGCAGTGTTAAGAAGGTGACAGGAGTCTTTGAGGGAAGATTTGGCTTCTCCTTTGGTTCCCACTCCTGCTTATTTTCTCATCAAACTGAGATTCCTGCTACCAATGAGAGGTTTGTCTGTGGTGCATGGGATGCAGTTGTTTGGAATCAGGGCTACAGTGCTAATAATCACCCTGCAAATTCTGTGGCACCCTGTGATGTGCAGGAAATAACAGAGGAAAAGCAGCTTCCAAAGAATTGCTTTTGGAGCTGGCTTTTTCAAAGTGAGCAAGTAGGAATCTGGATCCACTTCTGTGCTTGGCATATGAGCCTCTTGACTGCTCCTTTGTAACTTGTAAAAATAAATAATTGTCAAGCTGTGGGGTGATAAGTTCTGACTGGAATGTTGAGTTGTAAACTTAAAATAAAGCTTGGGGAGATCTGTAACATAAAGGTGGTTTGTAGAGAGGTTAATACAATGCTTGAAGTCATCAGAAGTACAGGTGAGTGTGAGAAGTGCATATTGTGTCTGGTGAGGAAGTTGGAAGGTGTTAGAAGAGCAGAGGCCTGTTTGAAATGATTGTTTGGGCTGTGCAGATGCCTGCATGCTGCAGTCAGTGACCAGGGCTCCACTGCAGCTGACTCTGTTGGAACCTGCCAGGGAAAGAACGTGGCTGAATCTTCCCTTGGGAGTGTCTGGGGCTGTGTTTGCACACCACTGAAGCACTGTGCTTTTAAGAGATTAATATGGAAGTGATGTTCTGAAATTTCCTTCTCCAGAGTCCTCATATGGGAAGGCACATTCTAGGCTGGGGAAATAATCTTGGGAAGTTATCTTCTCCTGGCAGGTTATTTATTGGTAGTGGAGCAGCAGAGTTGGTGTAATGTAGAATGGCTTGTCTGATCAACAATTCAAGCATGCAGAGATCATTCTGATCTAGAGAAATGTGTTTTATAACTCATTTGTGCTTTGGGAGGCAGAAATGAGGAAATGCATGCAAAACAAACAGTCTCTGCTTTATCATCAGAGTGTATGTCTTCAGACCTCTTTAAAATGACAGCAAAATCATCTGATATTTTCTGAATGGAAAAAGCTGTGAGCTGCTTTCTGTAAACCTCTCCAAAGAAGGCACATTGCCCATTCCATTACAGCAAAATAGGAGAAGTGCAGCTTTTTTCTCCTAAGTGTGTGTGCTCAGTAATTGGAATTTAAGAGGGGTTGTGAATGGCTTTTTTCCAGCCATATCTCTGGGTAATTTAAATAGTACATTTAGTTATAATTTAGTCTTTTAAAGAACCGGTACCTTCTCAAAACAGAAAGGGATAGTTTTTCAATGGACAGCTTCTTTATGTCAAAATGGAAATAAAATTTGCTTCTTGTCCTTAATTCAATTCATATTAATCCATATGAGAATAAAGAGAAGTATTTTACCAATGGAGAAAGTAGCTCAGTGCTACTGTACTGCCCTGTGCAGTGGAAGGTGGTAATATTGATGCTCTGAAATACAAATACTCTGATTTGTGCAGCTCTAGTTGAACAGAAAGGAGCCATTTCTCCTAATTTGTGACTAACAGAGTGGAGAGGCAGGATGGGCTGCCCCCATCCCTCTTCCTGTTTATTTGGGAATTGTAAAATGCTTACCAGGAATATGGCTTTGTGCTCTGTATTCTGTGATGCTACTTCCCACATTTCTGAATTATTAGCAGTGAAGCACTTTGCACTGCATGTTTATAATCTCATAATTCTGTGTCCTGGCCTCCTCTTTAGCTGGTAAGCCATTAATTTTCATGGCTCATATTGAGGATGAAACGTAGTAAATTTTGGCTTAAGCAGTATCAAAATTTTAGTATGATTAGTTAGTTTAATATGATTTCATTTTAAAATGTGCAGCCACTCTTTTCTTTGATCTCAGTGCCTCATTTTTGTTACATATGACAGCAGAGCAAAAGTTCCAAGGCTCCTGAATGTAGGCAGAAGGATAGTGGAGAAAACCCTCAAAAATGCTATGTCAGGAGCTCATAAAGACAGCAGAGGATTCTCAGCTGTTAATCTGCTTTACTGCAGGAGAAACTTCAGCCAGAGCTCACCTCTCATCTTTGACAGTGCAGTAAGATGTGAGAGCACAGGACTTGCAGTCCTGGTGCTTACAGTCCCACTTGTTAATCTGATAACTGTGGCAGTATCTGAGGGGAGGCTCAGGACTGCTGAGATTCATAAAGTTGGAGAGTTTTAAGAAAATAGTTAAAAAAGACTGTCCAGGCCTTTGAGAGAAATTTTGTGAACATTGCTAATACAGCGAAAAGTTTTCTAAGCAGTAGAGCAGATGTGACAAACAGCACAATAAACCTCTGTAGAACTGGCTTATAGATTGCAACAAAGTTATTTAATGTATATCTTTAGCAAGTTAGTATGAATAGATCTCTGTACTTTCAGCCATGTATTGATGGTGCCTGCTCAGGACCTTGGGGCTGCTGTGTCACCCACCTGCTTTTCAGGGCCAGGTGCTGAGCTCTGCTGCTGCATTTGGTAGGTTTGGGTTTCCTGTGACAGGAATGCTGTGATGTTAATGAATGTAAAGCCATGCTCTTCTCTTTGAGCTACAAAGTTGTCTGTGCCACTATCAGTGCTGGGAAATTACCTGTGGTAACTTGACAAACGGAAGCAGCTCTGATAAATCACAGAGATATGGTTTTAGCGCAGAGGGAAAATGAGTCCAGGTAGCTACCAAGTAGTGCCACTGAGAAAAAGTAGTGAAGGAATGCTACTCCTCAGCTTCCAGAAACTGCTCAAAGCACTTTGAAAATATAACAGGCAGAAAAGAGCTTCTGTAAATCTTTTAGGATTATTTATATTTGGTTATTGGTAAGAGGAAAAAAAAGGCAGGAAGTCAGATATTTCTTTTCACCTCCACACAGGGGAGATGAGAGAGGTTTTTTTACCACTCACCCCAAAATGCTGGTTCACTCTGATAGAAGTATGATGCAGAAAGATCCACATTTAGTTTTAACATATGTGTTGATAACCTTTAAATGTCCAAGGCACAATTTTCTGATTTCCTGCTGATGACAGTGGAAAGAGCATATCTATGTTTTCTTAAAATGGCTTGGTTGATATTTTATTTACTTTTGAGTTAAATTTTTAAAAAGTGTTTCTCCCTTAGATCTAAAGACAGATGTGGATGTTCTGGCCGTTACCCATCAATTTTATTGAAGCATGTTGCCCTTGTAGTTACACATTTGATTTGTATTTGATCGTGCTCTCATGCTGCTTCTTATATCTCTTTCCAGAGAGCCAAATGTATTATTAATGCTTAGGTTGCTGCAGGACATAAGGAAGTGAGTGATCTTGCTAGCAGAGCTCCTGTTAATGAAGAACTGAAGCTGTGGGATTAAGCACATCCTTAAAAGGATGATGATGATTCTACAACTGTATTGTAGTCTAACATGTTGATGATTATCTTAAAACAAAAAAAGACCCCTCAAGAAGAGACTGTACCTTATGTTTATTTAGTGAGTTTGGGAGTCATTGGAGACTTTTCCCCTGTATTATTCAATCCCACAACAGGGTGCAACAGCTTTGGGCTAAGTTCTGGAGAAATATGTCAAGGTTTGAAGCAGAAGGTGCACGATGAACTTGCTAGAGACATAATGAGCAGTTTCTTACACACTTGAAAAAAAGCAAAGACTATGGGGTGCTTCTGGTCACCTTAAACTGAACTCAGGTCATGTTTGCAAATGTTGCAGTGAAGTTGCTTCCAGCTAAGGGGTCAGCCAGGAGTGGGAATTGATGAAAGCAAACATTGCAAATACAAGGCTTTCAGATCAGCTCTGGAGCAGAGATAAAATCTGAAAACAACAAATCACACAAAAATTGGAAGATAATGAAGTCAAACAGAAAAGAATAGAGAATATTGCAGTTTTGTCTTAGCATGTGTGGTCTGTCGGCCATGTCAGTACAGAATTCAGGAACATAAACGTTGGGTGAGAAAGTTTTATTTTCTTTTTTGGTAGCAAACAATTTAAATGCAGCTAGAAGGTCTCCACTTAACCTCTAGTAGTACTGAATGAGATAGAGTAAGATAAATTACAAATAGATGGAAACACTGCCTTCACTTGCCTTTTGGTTATGAGAGCAGTGAGACTGAAATAAAGGCTGCAGAGCAGCAAACAAGATGTGCTAACTTGTCTGAAGGTTCCAGGGAAATCCACTGCAGCTGCTTATTATCCCCTAGGAGAAGTACCTGGGGCTGTTCAGCATCACCTGCAGCTTGAGCTGAGTCACCTGCTCAGGATGAGGGGCTCTGGAGCACTCCACATCCATGGGCAGCATGGGCTGTCAGTGATTTGTCAGTTTCTTAAAGAGGGACAGAAGACGAGTGGAGGTTTGGCTTTGGTTCATGATTCAAATTCAGTGTCTGTAGTTTAAGCAAAAGTACAGATTGGGCTGTACAGAAGTGCTTTTTTGTCCAGAGCTGACTGGGAAGCAGTGCATTGCCTCATTCCCTGGCCACTGGTACCACAGGTGAGCTTCACCTACAGGCCCTGGAACTGCAAGAGGCTCAGTCAGTATTTTGGAAGGATTTACAAGTGTGTAGTTCTCCCTGGTTATGTCAGTGTAAATACATGTTGATAGACTCCATGGTAATCACAGTGATAACAAAATATTCCTGAGCTGCCTGCAGCTGTGCAGCCATCACATGCTCATGAGGAGAAGAAGGGAATTTACAGCTGGGAAAACAGCAAGAGGAGGACTCATGATTTCCTGAAGGTAGCAAGGAAGCTGGGCCTCCAGTTCTCCTCTGACACAAATCTTAACCTTTCTGTTACAGCTCCTACAGCTGGGCTGGTGTGGTGCATCTCTGAAAAATACCAGTCCTCTTCTTAATAACAGTGTATGGGTGAAAGAGGTTTTAAATTTGAAAGTAAGGTCTGCAGTGAAGCATAATTGGAGTTGTCACAGTGTTCATACAGAATGTGGGCACGTTGCCTGAGGTGATTATCTGGTATTAAATTACTCTTAAGTAAATTAACTTGATAAGAGGCACCCTGTGATTTCTAAGTTCTACTGTTATGCTTGATAGAATGAGTTCATGGCCTGTATAAAGTTGCATGCACTTTTCTTGGTTGAAAAGAAAGTATTTAAATCTGTGGGAATTTATTACTTCCTGGAACTAGGCATAGAAAAAGAACTCACCTTTAGAGACTGATTGCTTGTGTTTGGTCTGACTGTGAAATGAGAGAATCTCATTTAATTGAGGAGGGCATATGTACAATGCTTTGAATTCTGTGATTGGTTTCAAAACAAAACTGCAGGAATATGTGGAAGGTTAGAGGTGACAATAGCCTAAGTATTTAGTAGAAAATAATTGTAATACAGAATGAAACACAGCAACTGTATGAATGATAATTTTTTGTTGGCTTTTTTTTTATTTTCCTCACAGTTTCAAAGAACATTTGAGTCTTTAAAAAATGTATCCAGTAAATCTGATCTACAGAAAACCTACCAAAAGTTTCAAAAAGATCTGGAAAACCTTGATTACTTGGCATACAAACGTCAGCAGGTAAGACCATGGAGGTGTAAGAAGACAGAATGCTGGGCATGAAGAGGGTGGGTGGTGAAACTGCTGTGCTGGGTGCAGTTACTGCTCTGCCATTGGGTTTTGTGCTTTGTGCAGTGCCAGGTGAGGCTGCAGGGGCTGGGAGGGCCAAGTCTGCCTAAAGCATGTGTTGCTGGACTGCTGGGTTTTGGGTGTTCAGCAGAGAGAAGCACGGGCAAAACAAGTAAGTGAGACTCAGCAGGCATTAAAAGTTGCATTAACATGTTATTATCTAAATGGAAGTGTATGGAAGCACTATTTGCAGTCTTTTGCTTGAAAAAGTAACCAAATTCACATAAGTCAGTGGAATGCAATACTTTCTGTGCATGCAAACCACTAATTTTTTCTCCTCTAGAAATGAATTTGTGAGGTTAGTGTGCATCAAACTTTGAAGTGCACATGGTCTCTGACTTGTATATTTGCAAGATCAAAGTTGAATTGTTAAAACATGTTTAATGTTGGATGTTCTGTCACTTATACATAGCTGATGTGAAAATATCGTTATGGGTATTCAACAGTTTTCTTCTCTTGATGATAAAACAAGATTTACCTCTTCCACAGCATGAGGGTAAAAGCTGCAGCATTTGTGTGAGGGTCGTTGTGGTTTGTGTTTTCCTGGATTCTGTCACTTGGTGTCAGTGTTGCCAAACAGTTCCTGTGCTTGGGGCAGATCACTGGCAGCTATTAGTGTCAGGTAATTGATTAGATTAATTTGTCTTAGTTAATTTGCATTGTTTATCTGAGCAGTAGTTACCTGGTTATGGGGAGGAGAGTTTTACCTGCTTGTTGATACCAGGGTTTTCATTTTAGTAGAACTTGCTGGAGAACCTGCAGTGAGGGATTTGAAAAGTGCATGGATGTATTTAGTGTAGAAGATGCTTTGAATTTTGGCCTGCTTTAAAGAGAAAGTAATCTTCTTGTGAAAAGATTGAGAATTGCTTGGATTACTGTGCAAAAATCGCCAACCTGTTTGGGACTGAAGCTGTTGTGACTTTGGGAGATACTTATGGAGTGTTTAATTGATAACACATTTAATTGATAACAATCTATCTACACTTGTATTAGGTTAAGGGTATATTCATGGTCCCTCTGGCAAAATGCTGAGTAGCTGCATCTGTTTGGAGACAAATATTTGTATATGAGTGTGAATCTATTGCTGGTGAAATAAAGGGTTTCCATGCTGAAAGCAATGAATGTTGCCTTTGAAAGAAATAGTTATCTGCTTCTGTACCTTTTCTTCAGACATGAGCCATGAAGTGCAGCACAGCAAGGTGCTGCTTCAGTGGGAAGGTTTACAGCACAGATGGGAAATCACAGCTGGGCTTTTCAAAGGGTGTTCAAAATGTCCCACATTGACTCTGATTAATAAATATAGACCAAACTTCTGTGAGTGGCAGACTTGTTTGGGGTGATGGTTGGGCAGCACCCACTAGAGAAATTCCTGTGGGTTGGGAATATCTCTTTATTGCCAGGCTGCCATTTTGAAATGTGCCAGGAGGTGCCTATGTCTGAGAAATGTAGATTTTCTTCTTGTCCAGGAGATAGTCTGGCAATTCCTTTGAATTAAAGCAAGCATTTCATTTCCTTGATACTTTCTCATCTCTGAAAATTGACAAAAAAGAATAGCTGCATGCCACAGTGAGTACTAGAACTTATTCTCTTGCTCTGTGACTTCGTGGAATGTTTCCAGTAAAAGCTAAGTAAAGTTTACATTGGTTTGTATCAACCTCAATATTACCACCTTTGCAATATGAATATTGACAGGATAAAATGTTCAAGCACTTGGGGATAAGGTGGGACTTGGTGATAGATCCCAGCTGTGCTCTTGGCATGCTGTGGTAGGTGCACACTTCCTCTTCTCTTCCCTGGGTCTTTGTTGCTGTTGGAGGGAAGTTGTCCATATAGTGTTCAGCTGGAATGGCACTGCTTTAAGGTTTATTACAATTATCTTACTGTAAGGTCATTTAAGGAGAGTTGGGCAATAGCTGCAATAAAAATGGACTTACAGTGAGGTTCAGTGGTATTTAGCACCTGTCAAACTGAAAAATTGCCACCGTTGCCGCTGTTCTTAGTGCCAACAGTGCCTTTAGGATGCCTGGAGCAATGCTGGCTGTAATCCAAAGACATTCAGTTTTTGATTAGAAGCCTCCATCAATGTGTCATCTTATAGCTGACAACAGGACTTCAGTATGTGCACACACGCTAAAGCAGGATCCTGTTGTAAAGTATTCTGATTTAAGGTTTGCTTGTTTGATGTTGATTTCATGCCCTCAGGGAAATTGTTTGTAAAGGACTGAATCTGTGGGAAATAATTCTGGTTAATCCATTTAAAAAATAATTTTAGGATTTCTTTCTGATGTTTGTTAGATTTAGAAATGTTTTAAAAAGTTGTGTTGGAAACTGAAGAAGGTAAGGCCTGTATCAAAGACATTTATGGGGCACACAGTGATTTCGTGTGCTGATGGGAAATAGTGCTTGCAGAAGATGCAGCAGAGCCATTCCCTGTTCTGGCTCACAGTCCCTTGTTGTCAGTACTGCAGCTGCCTTCATGATCATACAGGTCACATTTGCATTTTGAAAGGTTTAATTTTGAATGAAGACTTCAGTCAAATGCTACTTCGTTTTGTTAAAATGGATTAAATGCACTTGTAATCTTCAGCTTTGATTGTTCACTTTGGTGGGAGAGAATCAGAAGAGTGAAAGTGAGAACTTGTGGGTTGATAAAGTAATTTTAACAGATAAAGCAATAGCCATGCACACAAGGAAAGCAGAACAAGGAGCTGATTCCCCACTTCCCATGGCTGGGCAGGTGTCCATCCATCCCCAGGAGAGCAGGGCCCCATCACGTGTGACAGTGACCATGGAGGACAAACTCCATCACCCTGAATGTCCTCCTTTCCTTCCTTCTTCTCCTGCCCAGCTCTGTGCGCTGAGCACGGCCCCACATGGGTTGGGAAATCCCTTGGGTCACTTGGGCTCAGCTGTCCTGGCTCTGTCCCCTCCCAGCCCTCACTGCTGGGGCTGGGTGAGGCCCAGAGGAGGCCTTGGCTGTGTGTGAGCTCTGCTCAGCAATGCCCAAAATATCCCTGTGCCACCAGTGCCCAAACCATCCCTGTGCTACCACTGCCCAAACCATCCCTGTGCCACCAGTGCCCAAACCATCCCTGTGCTACCAACACCCAAAACATCCCTGTGCTACCCACGCCCAAAACATCCCTGTGCCACCAACACCCAAAACATCCCTGTGCCACCAACACCCAAACCATCCCTGTGCCACCAATGCCCAAACCATCCCTGTGCTACCAGTGCCCAAACCATCCCTGTGCCACCACTGCCCAAACCATCCCTGTGCTACCAACACTGCTTCCAGCACAAATCCAAAGCACAGCCACTGTGGAAAACACTTTAATTCTACCCCAGCAAAAAGCACAGTATGAATTTGTTCACTGAAGTGCTCCACTCCAGCAGCTGGAGAGAAGTTTTTGAAAGAGATTATCACTTATCAACTGGCAGGTTTATTTAGTGGCAAACCCTTTAAAAGTATGCTGGAAATTGGAGGGAGTTCAGGGTGAATTTTTGTTGTCAAGAAAACAAGCATGATGATAGAAAGCTGACTGAGCTCCTTAAGTTATCTGGAAAAGGTTATGGCTTAGAAATGTCAGGAATAGACTTAACTAAATCTTTATTCTAGTACAGGGAAATATGAGAAGCCAATGGATGGCAGTCAGACAAGTTCAAAGCAGAAAACAAATGAACATTTTTGACCATTAGCTCCTGAGAGGACTTAGTTAAGAGGTGCAGTACATTAATCACTGCTTGTAGCCTTTCTGTCCATTATCCATACCTTTTGAAAAGATGTGAAATAACTGAGATGCAAATTAAAGGGCAGGAATTATGGCTCTGTCTGTGGTTTGTGCTGTTGGGGGAATTTCAATGGGAATTCCCTTTTTCCCCCTCCACTTAAGAATGACACTACATTTGGTTGTTGTTGGAGGGTAAAGGCAAAATTATGTCTTCTGAATTGCCATCCTGGAATAACAAATGGGTGAATTTGTTCTGTTTTGTATTTACCACTCTACCACTGTCTAATGTTTCAGATTTTAGGGTTGGATGTGTTGAGATCTTGTTTAGGAATTTTCAAAGAAGCTTTGTACTTTACTCCAGAGTAATTTTAAGGACATATAGGGATTTGATTCCCATTAGGTTTCTGAAAATGCCTTCTTTTGTTTTCTCCTTTAATATGTAATCACAGACTATTGATTATAAAATGAGACTATAGGTTCTATTTCCAGTATTGTAGCTGCTTATCTCCCCTTGACATAGGAACATCATCTATCATGTTGTTGTGTAATTAAAATGGTTGATTTATGCATTCATTTTTTAAAAAAGCAAACACCAAATTAGTCTCGGTAGCTAAGATAGTGAAAAATTATGACAATTCTGTTCTCAGCCACCTGACTTGTTTTAGTAATTCCATGATTATGGCTCTGTCATTTGGTCCTTGCTTCTGTCTGTCCTGTGTGTCTCTGTGCCTTGCTAATGGGTGAAGAGGTTTTCCTTTTCCCTGCTCACCTGAAAGTGCTGCTATTCCCTGTGCTTACATTTTTTATATGTATTCAGGGTTGTAGGGGGAAGGCTTTCATATCAACACTTCCCCATTTTCTGTCTTTGCCTGGATGCTAAACCTCTGAGATAAAAAGTCATGCCTCCCCTCACCTTTCCAAAGCTCAGACTGCTGCTGTTTCTGTGAAACTGAATTAGTTTTGGCTGTGCCCAAGGTGTCTTCAGTTTGGATGAAAGATTCCAGTCTAGTCTTGTCTGGTAAATGTAGCTGAAATGTCTTGGGGGTTAAGGATGGATGATGCTTTACGTTAACCAAGAAGTCGCCAGGTAATTTAACAACAAACAAACAATAGAAAATTGAGTGTTACAGCGGGAAGGAATGAGATCTTCAGCTAGAAATT